CTGGGAGGGTGTCCAGCGTGGTGCCCGCGTAGGCGGGAGCCAACTTCCAGGGGTGAAGGGCTGCAGGCGGTGGGGGTGGTCTCGGGCTGCGTGGGTCAGTGGGCGGGGCCGTGCCCTGCGGGTCGTGATGAGGGCGTGTTAGTTCGTTCCAGGAGCAGGACCTTGTCCGCTGGGCCTGGGTAGGGTGGATTGGATCCCGCGGAGGAAGGAGCACACACAGTAGGTAACCGTAGGTACCTGGGCGTGAGTCGGAGCCGCGTGCCTAGGTTTTCACGACTCCTTTGAGTAGGTGCAGTGTTGGGCGCCAGGCTGGGGGCGTCCGTTCGACCATCCCAGCGCCAGGAGGAAGCCCGCAGGGCTCTGTCCCGGGGTGCACATACCCAGCGCGCAGTGGGGCTCTGGAGGGGCCTTTCTGAAGGAGGCGATGGGGGTGGGAGGCAGCAGTGAGGATGGCACAGCCTCCAGTAGAGATGGGGGGCTAGAGCCAGGGCAGGAGGGTGTGTGGAAGGTTCCTAAAGTTAGGGTGCCCGAGTGAGGGCTCAGGGGGATGGGCAAACTTGGGGGCACAGAGGAGATGATTAAGCTGTCTTTCATATTTTCACTTTTAGGAATGCCAGAAAGAGCAGAAATTAGAAAGGCATTGGGCTCTGGAAACTGTCCCTCCCCTCCCCACCCTTTCCCCCCAGCCTTGACACAACAGATGGGGGTACCCGTGTCTGACTCTGTGCCCTAGTCTCCCCTCCCCACTTGGGGCTAGGGTCCCCCCAGGAGCAGATGTTGAATGAATGAATGAGAGGGGGGGCGTGGTAACTACACAGGATGTCACCTCCAGCCCTACCAAGTGGTGAACGAGAGACCCCAGAGGAGGAGCTTGGATGAAGTGCCCTAACAGCCTCTAGGAGAGACCTTGCTGGGGGTGTCTGTGAGGAGTGGATCTGGGGACCCAACTTCTTCTCAGGTAGAAAAAGTTTCCTGAGCAGCAAAAACTGACTCTTGGACGCTGTCAGCCAGCAGGTTCGGCAGGCTGAAAGCTTGCATGCCTCCTGTGTTGGGGAGCTCCTCTCCTCCCTCACAGTGCTCTGAGGAGGGGGTGCAGACACCACAGAAACCACAGGCACTTCGTCCTTAGCAAACAAGAGGCATTTAACAACTCCAGTTTGGAAGAAATGAGAGAAAGTCAACTGGTTATGACAGCAGCCCCAGAGGGACGTGACCGGGTGCCAGGGGCCTCGTCCAGGCAGGCCCCCTCCCAGAACCCTTGTGCTCAGCACCCATCCGGCCCTGGCCTGTTCTGGATTCACACTTCACTCTGAGTTAAAAGCTGAGGCCTGAACAGCCTGGCCCGCCCACCCCCGCTAGTGTAGACACACCAGTAGGTAGATTCGGGGACTGGGCGCACTCTGCCTTGGCCACCCTGCCCCTTCGGCCGTGCAGCCCCACTCACAGGACTGCTGGCTCGACTGTCACAGCACCCCAAGGGGTGGAAGGCGTGACAGGCCCCAATCTAGGCTGCCCAGGACGGTGGGTCTGCTCTGGAACAGTGTCCCCAGAACAGGGGGGTGAGGTCATGAGGGGCCTGGGCCCTGGAGCTGGCTTTCAGCAGTTAAGGTCTCATTCCTGGTCCCCCACTGGGGCAGGCCCTGGTCACAGGGACGATGACTTCCACACCTGGCACCAAGAATACCACCACAGACCACAAGATCTAAAATCCATACAAACATTTATTGTCCCTGCCTGGGGCTGGAGAAGAGGGGGTCAGGGC